TTGCTGCACCCTCCCTCTGTCCCTCTGTCCCTCACCCTCCCCCCTCTCCCCTCCTCACCATATCACACCTGCCTGGCCCTGCCCTGCACATAGACAGGGCAGCCCACTGAGGCAGACGGGGCCACCTCTGCCCACGCTCAGCTCTGCCCCGCCCCCGCTGCACGTCTTCTCATCCACAAAATCGGACGATGATGCTAGTTGCCTCTCAATCCTTATGAGGATTAAGTCAGATACTGCACATAAAGCACTAAGCACCGCTCAGGCCCATGGGAAACACCTCATAAATATTCATTTGTTATTACTGTTCCCACATCAGCACTTGCAAAAGCTCCTCCCTGGCACCTCCACCTGAGGCCTGGTGACCCCTGATTCTGGTGCCTTCCGTCTGGCACAAAGAGGATCCTTTGAATGATGCCCGTGAGAGCGGAGATGCCAGACATTCTGCCCCAAACTTACTAACTTCTTACCCTCTGGCCCATTGTTACTATAATAGTGATAATCATTTTATGGGCTTCTCATGGCCATTGCCTCATGTAACCTTTTGCAGCAGTGCATGCAGTTGAGAAGCTTGCGCCCATTTTTAAGATGGGGAAACTGAGGCCTGGCCTAAGGTCCAGCAGTCAGAGGGTGGCAGGAACCAGCCTCCTGACTCCGAGCCCTGGGGTCCTTCCCAGCACCCAGGGCCAGTCAGTCAGCAAACAGCACCCAGTGAGCTGGTCCGTTCCAGAGCCTCCGGGCTAATGTGGTTTATTGGGGCCCACAAAACACCGGTGTCAGCGACAACTCCGCCACATGTCATGTGCGCTGTTATTAAAAATCAGTTCTCTGGGGGCAGAGGAGTGCCCGCGCCGACAGGGCGCCATCTGTTATCGTCACTTATTTATTATCCACCTTCTCTGGGGGCGCAGAGAATGGAAACATCAGCAGAACCATTCCCCTGTTTCCCGCCGAGCACACAGGACGTGGGCTCATCTCGCCAGCCGGGGCTGAGGCTGGACCTGCGCCCCCACCTCCCACCGTCCCCCCTCCATCTCAACCTGTTGTCTCCCACCCCGGCCTTCCAGCTCTGTGCATGGGTTTGCTGCCAGGGGGTGACCTGCCGATTTTAATGGGATCCCTGTGCACATGTCCATAGTTAGAGCAGTTCTTTTTGGGGCAACTCAACGCGGAAAAGGGAGAAAGAGAATGAATGCTTGCCTGTCCATCTGTCCGTCCGCCAGGCGGTGGGGTGAACGTCACCCTGTTTTCTCCCTCCTCCCCCAGCACACGGCGTGCCCACCCCTGCAGCGGTCAGTTCGTCAGGGTGCACTCACACACGCAGCCCGCTGAGCCTGCTTCTTGAGTTAGGGCCACTAGGATCTGAGCACCGTGATTTTAGAATCGTGGCATCTTGTAAATAAAATGGGGTCTTAGAGGCCCTCGTTGCAACCCTCCACCTCAGTGGGGAGCAGTCATCTGCTGCATAAGAGCCAATTCAGGAAAAATAAAAATGTTCACAGGCTACATTTCTTTTACGATATTTGTATCCCTTTTCCCAGTAACTGCACATGGAGGAATTTATGCTGCAGCCTAATCCAACATGAGGGAAAGGCTCTGTGCATTAAGATCCTGGCTGCACTGTTATTTTTAACCTAAATTTTAAATATTACCTACAAGTGCCACCGTGGGGAAACGGGTGAGGAACGCATCACGCAGCCAGTCGATGAAGGGCAATTACTGTGAGAAGATGAAAACTCCACGGCGGTGCGGGCCTGGGAAAATAAACCTAATCCGCACATACGTTACAATTATAACTGGTAAACGTGGATAGCTCTGAAGGGGGGCTATCGGGGAACGTAAACACTCGAAAAAACTCATGGAGGGCTGTTAGCCTTGTCGTTTCTGTAATAAATGAAGGTGACGTTAGAGATGAATGAAGACAGTAACATATCTACAATTGAGAGAGTAGGGACAAAAAGATAGGGTTGTTGTTTTTTTTAAATCAGGAATTGCAATATATGCAACGGCATTTAAGCATTTGTAGATTTTCTCATTTTTCAAGGGATTCATAATTTTGATTAAAATTCAGAAATGACCAGTGACCCAGGGATGCTGTCCATGTGGGGTGGGGCAGGAGAAGGAGCCTCAAGATTCAGCCACAGACAAAGGCCAGAAAGTGTGCGTGCGCGCACGTGTGCGTCTGTGTGTGCATGTCTGTGTATACCTGTGTGTGTGTGTGTGTGTGTGTGTTGGCAGATGGATATAAATACATTTCAGAGAACATGGCAGAAGGTTGGTCCAGGAGCCCTGAGTACAAAACATGGTGTGAAAACATGCTTGTCCTACTTCACTCCTCATCTGAAGAAAGTCAGATGAGCACATTCTCGTGAACATTCACGCTCTTCTCCAGGGATCTCTGTGTTCCCTGGCCTGTGCCCCACACCAAGCCACATGCCTTGTGTGCGTGTGGTCCCTGCAGTCACTCCCAGCCCCCGCTGGCCGCAGGAGCCACCTGGATTCGGTTAGCACAGGCGGCAGATTTGGCGTGTGTCTGCGGGGGGCGGGGGCGGGGGCGTGGATTATCATCCATCATCCTTGGTATTTTTAGCTCCCAGGACAATCCCTGAAGTGGGATGGAGTTCGCTGTTTATGCACAGGGGCTGTTCATCATGCTCCACGCTGGCATAGACCGTCCCTACAGCTTGCCTGCCAAGGGCTCCATGTGCCCTTGGCTTGGTTACCTTCAGAGACCAAGAGCTCACTCCCTTCTCAGACAACCTCATTTCAATTTTTTACAGGAAATATTTTTTATTTAGTGTTGACAGTATCACAGAGGTCCCCCCCCCCCCCCCGCCCATCCTCTTTGCCTCCCTCCACCCAGCCCCTGGGCCCACTTCGTTTTTGACCAGCTGGTGAACATCAGCTAATTCTGGTGAACCAAAAGGGGACTCCTTTGGACCTCCAAACCACGGTCCTGGCGTGGCCCTTTGGTGCGTAAAAGGAGACGTTAGAGATGCAGGCAGCTGAAAACTTCAGCAGCAGCTGCTGGCTGGAGGAGGGTGCGCAGACTTGCCGGAGCCGCTCTTTGGGGGCCAACCCAGGAGCGGGAACCTGCGGGAGGCAGGCTTCCTCAGCCGTGTTGTCCTGGTAAATCCCAGCCCCTTGCTCGGTGGTCTACGGGGAGCTCAGCGGCTCCGTTCATAACAAATGGGAGCGCGCCTTGCAGGAGTCCCTGTGCCAGCGCTGCCTTTGGGCGTATGCTGTTTTTAAATCAGGGCTCCGTGCCTCCCCAGGGGCCCAGGCCTCGTTCAGAAATGATTAACGGCGGGCTGGGGGCCTTCGCCGACCAGCAGGCAGCCATGAGGTGATCCCAGCTAATGGCAGGCAGGGGCCGTGTGATTCATAAATAACCACGTGCAGTAGAGGTGGACAGAGACTGACGAAAGCGCTAGGAAGTGCTTCCAGCACCTTCTTCCCCGGGAGCAACGGGAGGTGAGGAGCCGCCTGCGCCCTCTGCCCTGCGTCCTGGGAGGGAGGCGGGTGCTTAGGGTGATGGATGACACCCTAACCAGCTCAGCATGGTTCGGAGCGTCACCCGGAAGCCTGTTAGAAACGCAGCCTCTTGGCCCCACCCCACCCCCTCTGAGCCAGCCTCTGGGGACAGAGCAGAGCCTGCCTGCAATTAGCTCCCCTGCCCAGGGATTGAGAGCCTCTGTTCTGTATTAAGGATGATTGAGCTCATGCCTGTTTCCGGCCAAAGCTGGGGGCAGGCTCACGGCAGCTACAAGGGAAACAAAAGAGCAGATTCCCGAGTGTCGTCCTGACACACCCCCTCGTTCCACTGCAGCTCCCTTCACAGCACAGGGGTCTGTGCCCAGCATCCCTAACGCCGCCTCTGAGAGTGTGAATTTCACCCGCCTTGCATCTCATAGGCCAGGCCCTAAGGGAGCCATCAGCTGGGGGATTGGGGTGTGCAGCTGATGGCTGCTCCTTCAGTGGAGGGTGTAATCCGTGGGTTGTGGATCTGCTCGCATTGTGACTTGAGCAGCGAAGCATAGTTCATTCCGTTTTCTCCCTGAACCTATTCTCCAGGCATTTAATTGAAGCTCAGTATACGCACTGCCCTGCAGGTGGGAATAGCTCCTGCTACCACCCCGCAGGGTGGAGGGAGGCTGCCTGGACCCTTGGACATGCTGTTAGGAAATGCACCAGGCCCACCCGGTCCCATTAAAGCAGTGGTTCTCAACCTGTGGGTCACGACCCCTTTGGGGGTCAAATGACCCTTTCACTGGGGTCACCTAAGACCATTGGAAAACACAGACATAATTACATATTGTTTTGTGATTAATCACTATGCTTTAATTATGTTCAATTTGTAATGATGAAATTGGGGGTCACTACAACATGAGGAACTGTATTAAAGGGCCGCAGCATTAGGAAGGTTGAGAACCACTGCATTAAGGCGAGTGTGAGGCTCCCAGGCACCTTCCCCAGGAGCCGAGTGCCCACCGTCTTCTATCACCTGAGCTGGGACGATGGCATTTCTCACTCCCCATAATGCTCCCAAAGTGACTAAAAAGGGAACCAGTTTCTTGATCAGAACCAGACATTCTTCAAAACCCTGTCACAAATACCAGAAGAGGCTCATCGTTTAGCACTTAGGAAATGACGGTTCTGCATGGATTAATGCACCCACCACCACCTTCTGTGGCAAATCTGTTTACTTTCACTCCCAGTTTACAACAGGACACTGAGGCCCAGAGAGGGTGATAACTCTGCCCACCGTCACACAGCTGGCACGTGGCAGAATCAGGGTGTGAATGGAAGCAGCCTGGATGCAGAACTGATGGTCTCAGCCACAGCTCTTCGCATCACCTCTAAAGCTCCAGGCCTCCATTAGGGAGACAGCTCTCCATTTTGGGGGCGGGGGGGGGTGCAAAAATGGAGGCCCAAGAAGTAAAGTAACTTACCCAACATTCCACAGCGAAAAGGGATTGGTCCCTTCCCAGGCCCGTGCCGTACAGCAGTCCGTCCTCTCCTTCCCAAACCCGCTACCCCCGAGTCCCTGCTGCCAAGCGGGGCATGGGGACATCCACGCGCCGGCCACAGAGGACGCGGTGCCTCCTGCTGCTGGCAGTGGGGCCCCCAGTGAAACGGAGGGGCCTGGGCCAGCCTGGGGCACCACGAGGGCCTGAGTCAGGTCCGCTCTGGGCGCTAACCTCCTGCCTGTGCTCTGCTGCAGAACCCTGCACGGCAACGACATCTCCAGCGTCCCTGAAGGCTCCTTCAACGACCTGCCATCCCTGTCCCATCTGTAAGTAGCCCCGGCTCTCTCCCCAGCGTGCACCCACCCAAACGGAACATCGCCTAGTGCCACGGCCCATGGCGGCCACGGCTAATGCACATGGGCGGCTGCCAGAGGAAAATGACCCGAACAAGCCCTGGGGCCCAAAGCTGACACACCTTTCCACACAAAGAACGATGAATTGTGGGTCTATGGCAGGACAGAGGGGCTGGGGTAGGGCCATACACTGGGGGACAGGGACTAGGAAATATGTGGGGAAGCTGACGGAAGAGCAGGGTTACTGTAGTGGGTCTGCACGTTCAGAGACTCCCAGTCCCTGGTGATGAGTGTCCTCCTGGTGCAGGGAGGGCACCTTTCTCGGGAAAGTGCCCCGCTTGGAGGCAGAAAGGGGGAAGTCAGCGCCCTTCCTGCATCTGCCGGTTCTCAAGCGCCTTCAGCTCAAAATACTCAACGTCCCAAACTGGCATGTTGAGGGTGTGTGTTCCGAGCACCCTCGGTGTGGCTGGGCATCAAACCTCCTCTGCAGGGAGAGCCCTCCCGTGGACTGGGCGGTGGGCAGGGCAGCTTCCCGGCGGCTCCAGGATTGAGGTCTGTTGAGTTGAGGTCGAGCGGGGGATTGTCTTACTGGGGTGGGCGAGAACAAAGCCTCAGAGGGGGAGGGGCTTGGCTGGGGGGGAAAAATC